AACCACACTTTGATTTGATGGATCTTTGTCTAAAGGACTTTCGTTTTTTTAAATACATAAGTAAAAACTTCCTTGACCTCAAAAGTGTCTCCATGTTCTGTAAGGCTCAAACATTTCTACGGATTTCCTAATCTATTCATTTGAAACTATAAGAACATCCTAGACCATATTAAACAAAACTAGGAAAGACATAACAGAAAGGGAGATTGGGAGGAACCGGAGAGTGTACACAGGATGAGTTTGATGCAATATTATGGTGTTTCTTAAGCCCATGATCTTAGAGATAGTAGCAATCTTATTCATGAATGTGGAACACCAGTGAGTCAGAGCCTAATCACAGCTTTTTGTTTGTTTGCTTATTTGTTTTGCTTTGTTTACTAAATTGCTAGTGTTTCTGTGTCTGGGAAGACATTCTGTTCTAGTTAGTGAAAAACAGAAAAGTCAGATAAGAATTCACTGAAAGGAACTGAAGTTGCTTAAGCCAATGACACACATTGCAAATAAGGAAGTTAGCTAATTTACAACGTGTGTCAGTGGAAAATGATGACTCCTTTGAAGGGAACCTCGAGTAGAGCCTGATGCTCAGAGCTTGTTGGGCAAAGGCAATATTGCCCTGTTGGCTATACTCATGGGGAATAAACAAATCTGCTTAGCGTGACTTTATAATAGAAGGAAAAAAATGTTTCCTTCAGGAAAAATCTATAAAATAAGTGAAATATATACAAAATAAGGAGTCTAATAGAGTGCATTGTCCTGCTGTCAGAGGAGACAGCAAGGAAAAGCTAAACTGAAACTTCCTTCTCATAAACAGATCAAAGGCACCCATAAATGGGACATGCTCTTGATTTTCAATGTGTTCAGGATTCCCTTGGTGTACTCCTTCCTAAAAATATTCCCAGCTCCCACTTATTAGAAAATATTGTTTATGTAATTCAGCTAGATACCTGAGGTCAACTCAATCCCTCATTGTATTCCCCATTGTCTTATAAATTAAACTTTTTTTTAACTTGAAGCTCTATTAAATTGTAAAAAATGAATGACACCCAAAATGAATTAAAAACATTTTTTTGACTTACATATTCATTTTAGTTAAAGAAGAAAACAATGAAGGATATTTTAAGGTAGCTTTTTTTCCTTCATAGTTAAGTATGCTGCTTCTTATGAACAATCCTTTTTTAAACAAAATAAAATAGACTCTGAAATTGTATGTGAAGATTAAAGAGAGCAAGACAGAGCAGGAGACCGGAAACCGAACAACCTGAGTCTGAAGCCCAGATTTCCGCGGCTGCCCTTTCACCTACACCAAGACCCGGCTCCAGCTGTGAGGGGTCACTTGCAAAAATCTGATTAAACCTGTAGCTAAGGGTCTTTCTCTTTCTTTATTGGAAGGGAGAGGAAAGGGATTTGCTTTATTTTCTGTTTACAAGTAAAATGAAGAGGCTCTATGACTTTAAAGAGCTCTTCCTGTTTGGATTTTCTTCTAAAATGTTGAGCGCCTCCATTTGAGTCGCTGTGCTAAATTTACGCGCCAGGCATAGAAATAGTCAGTGAGTAAGCCAAATTTACTCCTAAATGGGCCAGAAACTTCATTTTAAAATAGATGAGAATTGGCAGGAAATAGAAATGAAGCCAGAGCAATTTATAAAGAAGAGCATCTGATTTTTTGTTTTTAAAGATGAAAGTGGAAAACAAAATCACGGGGAGTGAGACAGAGGAGAATTGCAACAATGGGATGCTTTCCTTATTTCATTTATATGCTTAGAATAGCCATTTGACTTAATTTTTTTTTTAATTTCATTGAGGTCACATTGGTTTATAACGTGTAAATTTCAGGTGCACATCATGTATGTCAGCTTCTGTATAGACTGCATCATCTTCACCACCAATAGTCTAGTTTCAGTCTGACGTCATACATATGCGCCCCTTTAACCATTTTGCCCTCCCTCTACCCCCTTCCCCTCTGGTAACCTCCAATCTGTTCTCCGTATCTATGTGTTTGCTTATTTGTTTATCTTCCACACATGAGTGAGATCATATGGTATTTGTCTTTCTCTGTTTGACTTATTTCACGTAGCATAATACCCTCAAAGTCCATCCAGGTTGTCACCAATGGCAAGATTTCATCCTTTTTATGGCTAAGTAGTATTCCATTATATATAGATATAACACATCTTCTTAATCCATTCATTTGCTGATGGACACTTACGTTGTTTCCAAGTCTTGACTATTGTGAATAATGCTGCAATGAACATAGGGGTACATAGATCTTTTTGAATTATTGATTTCATGTTCTTTGGATAAATACTCAGCAGTGGAATAGCTAGATCATATGGTATTTCTATTTTTAATTCTTTTGGGAAACCCCCGTACTGTTTTCCATAGTGGCTGCACCAGTTTGCATTCCCACCAGCAACGTATGAGGATTCCCTTTTCTCCACATCCTCTCCAACACTTGTCTTGTTAATAATAGCCATTCTGGGGCTGGCCCTGTGGCCAAGTGGCTACGTTCGCACGCTCCGCTGCAGGCAGCCCAGTGTTTCGTTGGTTCGAATCCTGGGCGCGGACACGGCACTGCTTATCAAACTCCACTGAGGTGGTGTCCCACATGCCACAACTAGAAGGACCCACAATGAAGAATATACAACTAGGTACTGGGGGGCTTTGGGGAGAAAAAGGAAAAAATAAAATCTTTTAAAAAAATTAAATTAAAAAAATAAATTGAAAAAATAATAGCCATTCTGATGGGTGTGAGGTGATATCTCACTGTAGTTTTGACTTGCATTTCTCTAATAATTGATGATGTTAAACATCACAATATCTTCTTTGGAAAAAAGTCTGTTCAGATCCTTTGCCCATTTTTTTTTTTTTAAAGATTTTATTTTTTCCTTTTTCTCCCCAAAGCCCCCGGTACATAGTTGTATATTCTTCGTTGTGGGTTCTTCTAGTTGTGGTATGTGGGACGCTGCCTCAGCGTGGTTTGATGAGCAGTGCCGTGTCCGCGCCCAGGATTCGAACCAACGAAACACTGGGCCGCCTGCAGCGGAGCGCGCGAACTTAACCACTCGGCCACAGGGCCAGCCCCATCCTTGCCCATTTTTAATTGGGTTGTTCAAGTTTTTTCGTTGTTGACTTGTATGAGTTCTTTATATATTTTGGAAATTAACCCCTTGTTGGATATATGACTTGCAAATATTTTCTCCCAGTCGGTGGGTTGTCTTTTTGTTTTGTTTATGGTTTCCATTGCCTTGCAGAAGCTTTTTAGTCTGATTTAGTCCCATTTCTTTATTTTTTATATTGTTTCCCTTGCCTGAGTGGCCATGATATTGAAAACGATGCTGCTAAGACCAATGTCAAAGAGTGTACTGCCTATGTTTTCTTCTAGGAGTTTTATGGTTTCAGGTTTTACATTCAAGTCTTTAATATATTTTGAGTTAATTTTTGTGGATAGTATAAGATAATGGGCTACTTACTTTCTTTTGCATGTGGCAGTCCAGTTTTCCCAACACCATTTATTGAAGAAACTTTCCTTTTTCCATTGTGTGTTCTTGGCTCCTTTGTTGAAAATTAGCTGTCCATGGATGTGTCGGTTTATTTCTGGGCTCTCAATTCTATTCCGTTGATCTGTGTGACTATTTTTGTACCAGTACTATGTTGTTTTGATTACTACAGCTTTGTCATATATTTTGAAATCAGGGATTGTGATGCCTCCAGCTTTGTTATTTTTTCTCAGGATTCTTTTGTCTATTTGGGGTCTTCTGTTGATTCATATAAATTTTAGGACGACAATTTGTTTTTAGTGCAAATCCAAAAATACAAACGTGGAGCTTTGAGATGGCAAGTCAACAAGCAGAAATTATAACAGAATTCTTCGTCCTTTCTATTACATTTCCCTGGACATCCCCATTGAGACTACTTACTGGCTGCTGCGTAATCCTCAGGTTTATCAGAAGACATGCTTGTGATTTTCTGATCAGATCAGGACAGAATAATTAAAGTCTGCAAAGTACAAGTGGTTATCTGTGCTCTAATTCCATGAACACCAGGGGGATTATCAGTTCAAGATGCCCTCTCAGTCTGCTCTGAAAAAATTTACATGTGGGAAGCCCGTTGAATTTTGATTATACCAAATTCCGTTTCCTACACTCTCTTCTACAAGCTGTTTTTCAATCTTGGATAAGTTTTTATGAATGTGGCATGCATCTTGATTCATGAGGTTGTGTGCAAATCATAGTACATGGGTCAGAGAGGGACGGGGTTGAGTCATAAGGCTGGACATCTCCTGTTGTCACATTAGTGCTGTATGGCATTGAAGAGCTGTTTTTTCCTGTCTCTTGACATGTTTACTTTCTTTTAAACCAACTTAGATCTGCATGACTTTGTGTCTACTTTAGTTCTTTTGCATTTATCCTTAAACTGAATTGTTTCAGAAAATACAGCCCATGCTTTAAAAAGGGTACTCACAGCACTTCTGTAAGGATTATTTTAATGGTTTAGCAGAGAGTAAGAGGAGGGAAAAAAGAAAAAAAGAGGTCAGTTAGAAAGAAAGTTGCAAATCAGTCCTCTGTTTTCCTTTCTTCTAACTTTTCTTTCTGGTTCCCTCTGTATTGGGGGCGGGAGAGTTGGCTGTAAGGGGAAAGAATCTCAAGCAGCCCAAATTGAACAGAACCTGTGGGGCCTGAAAAATAAGTCAAGTAGAAAGGAAGAGAATACACGTAATCAAAGGCAAGTTGATGAATATTAATTAGTTCTCACAATTCCATCCCAGTACTCTATAATTTATTATGAGGAATTGAGTAGAAAAGAATCTGAAATTTAAATTTTCCTCTGTTTACCAGAGATATATTCCTTTATTGATTCTAATGAAAATTGAAACCTCAATTTCAAAAAGTTTCTGAGTAAATTAATGTCCAATTGTTTATAAAGACAGTCAATTGAATAGATATAAAATTAAAAATTGACGTCAATCTTGGTCTTAGATTTGTTCTTTATATAACGCATTCTTTGTGAACATTTGTATAAGTAAAAAGTATCTTTTACTCACTAGTAGGAAAAATATCTCGCTTCATGTACTTTCATGAAGTGTTTAGTGCCTTATGTTATTTTAATCTAGCGAGCAGCCGGAGGTTTATTGTTTTATATTAAATGAAAACCAGATATTTCTGGGCTATTGGACTCCTAGGCTGCAATTTTCCTCTCAAATCTGTATAAAGGTAAAACAAGGAAAAAATAGTCTGGGAGGAAAAAACCAAATTGGATGCTGGACACATACAGATTCCAACTTTTACTAAGAGTACATTGTTAGTCTAGCACAGTGCCAGGCGCTGGGGATAAGGAGGGAGTTACAGAAAGTGGAAGCTATCAAGGAGTTCACCCTCTAGGTGATGAGATAAATATGCCCATATGGATGAGCTGAGAGACCAGTGCACCAACGAGAGGGGTTGCTGCTAAGAACTATGGGCATTCAACAGTTGAGGACATCAAGGGTGGACACTGATGGTATAAGATCAGCAAGATGTCTTGAAAAAAGGAAGAATGGTTGTGACTAAAAAGATTATCATTGTTTTCCTATGCGGAAAAGTGGAGAAGATGACAATTTGAGTAAAGAGAAGAGAAAATCAAGAGCATTGGCTGAATCAAAGAATAATAAGGACCAGGCTTGGCTGAAGTGGAGCGTTTGGGCTGGATGAAGAGAAGGTAAGAAAAAGCAGAGCGAAGAGGGATTGAGGGGGACTCTGGAGGTGAGGAAGAGGAGTCCAGGGGAATAAAGTCTAAAACTTGTTTCTGTAGGTCGTGGCCAGTTGCCGAGGAGAAAAAGGGCGCTGAGAGACATCAGATTATCGGGTCGGGGACACATGTTTTTATTCAGACAAAATTAGGACATGAATTGCTCCCCAAAAAGTGTGGTCTTCTGAATTTCTTCCCTTGCATATACTGAGGCTTTTAAGTAATCAGTTGATCTCGATTTATTTAATCCATAAATATTAACGACATCACAGTAGATTAGCATGTATGGGAAAATCTACTGTATGCCAAACTCCCTCATATATGCCAAACATACCGAATGCCAAACACCCCATGGATGTTAACATACCCATGACACACTAACGTTACCGATAGTTAACTGACTGCTGCCTGGAGGTCACAGCACACAAACGATGAGCAGGACTTGAACCCAAATCTTCCAGATGTAAATCTCATGCTCTTTCCTCTATTTCACTTCATTTCCAATCTGTGCCAGGCACCGGGTTGAATGACTTTTTATTTTAAAAACAAAGCAGCATTGATGCACAGTTACATATTAATATTTTTATTTAAAACTATATCTCTACATACTTGGAGACAAATAATAATTTTATGATTTTCAGCAATTTCCCCAAATCAAGAATAGGTAAACTTTCAGATACTTCAAAAATAGCCAGTTAAAATCAAAATGTTTGATGAATGCACATTCATTTAGAAGTTTATTAAGTGGCATGTTTTACAGAAATTTCATTTTCACTAAAAATGGAAATTTTGTTGTTTGCACTTTTTTAATTCATGAAGGAATTACACTAGAATATGTAGTTTATTTGACTCATTTAGAGTTGGCTCCTGCACAGCATAAAAAGCTTATCAGAATAAATTTTTGTACATTCTCACATAAAATTAATCCGATTTTTCCATGTGTAGAATTAATAAACACGAAATTATGATAAGTGTTTAATAATTGGCTCTTTGGGAAAAGTCTTGAATTTAGTATTCGCGTATTTCTGTGGAGCAATGGTCTACAGAAGCCACTTAGAGGGATGTCTGTTTTCAAGCCACTTGGCTCTTTTCAAGCCACAAGAGGGATGTCACTGAACACAAGTTTGGAAGCGAGGCACATGTTTTCACCACACAGATAAAAATAGACATAACCTCAAGAGTATAGATAATAGTAAAATCCAGTGAACTAATTAGGAAGTGATGAGTTTTGAGTATTTATCAACTTTGTTTTAAATATAATTATTTAATTATATGTTTCTTTTCATCTATTTTTAAATATTGGCAGTATTTAACAACCAGAGCTCAAAATTCCTAAAAATTTAATAATCGGCTCTTGCGAGCCAGTAAAAGTTGCCGTTAGCATGCCACTTGGAGACCAGGACAAAGAAAAGCTTGCATAAAAGCCACGAGAATGTTTAGGCAAAGACAAAAACTCCTAGCCTATGTGAGTTGTAGTGGATCAATTAGATATTTATCAACATTTATTGAGAACTTAGTAAATGTCAGCTTGCTCTTTATGTCAAATTTCTTATTTATTCTTCACAACAGCCTCACTAAGTTGTATTACCATTATCACTTTTTAACAAATGGGGAAACAGGCATAGAGAAAGAACACAACTTTTCTAATAGGAAAGCAGGGATTAACTCCAGTTTTGTTTTGCTCAAATGCCCCTGCTCTTCAAAAAGTATACAGGACCCGACCCCTGACCCCTCAGTGGGAGACCTCCCAACCCTCAAAGCCACTCACAGCTCAGCTGAAGAGCTGAAGGAAGGTCTCAGTTAGCAAGCATGGCGCAGAGCGAGTCAATCACACAGACGGAAACAAAGGGCATGTTGACCCTCTTCCATCTAAAGTCCAAGGAAAGTGCACACACGCCTCCGATCACTGCATTGTTTACTTTCCACACACTTTTCTTCATCTGGCCTTTCCAGTTCCTGAAGAAATAAACACAATTTGGTAAGACTAAATGCTTTTTTCCCATTTCCTAGATTTCCAGCGCTTGTTCTGGTAAGAGTGGACTCAGTTCTTGTCTGCCTGTCAGAGTGATTAATTAGTTTAATTTCATGCTGTCTTCCCTGCCATCCTGTCCCTTCCCCCAATGACTAATAACTCTTCTACAAAGTCCAAACAAATGGCCACGGTATCTCATTTTTATTTTTGGAAGTTTTCCCCAGCCAAAATGCATAGAACCTCTTCACAGACAGCAGTTTAGAAATTCCTGGCCAGGATTCCTGCCTTTAACAGCCGCACTTGATATGGCTAGATGGCCCGCTGACTGATATCCTGGGTGGCATCATGCCAGCTTGAAAGTTGTCGGGCTATTTGAATCAAGAATCAGCAGTGAGCAGGGATAAATATAGATGGGCAGCATATAACAACCTCTGCGAGGGGCCATATCTTCTTCAGGAAGTACCTTTGTGCCAGCACTAAAGCATTAACACCACACGCCTTTTTCTACACTTGACATCTGTGGACACTTAGAGTGTGTGACAAAAGGAGGAAGAGAATGAGAGTGTAAAGGAAGACAAGAGAGTTTATAGGGGAAGCCAGTAAATCAGAGAAGGATAAATTGCAGGTGGGGCCCAGGAGTGCATTAGGAACCCTGCCACACTGGCTTTTTTAGCGTGCAGGGTGGGCACTAATGATAGACATCTTATTTCAAGGCCAGAGCTTAGCGCAACTGAAGGGAGAGGTCAGGAATGGGAAGTCAAACCTCTGTTTCTGGCCATGCCATAGACCTCCCAAGGTCCATTAGTCAATATGCCACATGGCCACCAGGTGAAACCTTAGGATAGGAAACAGCCCCTTCCCAATGAGTTAAAACTTGTCACGAACCCAGATCACAGGCATCTCGAGGGGGCGAGAAAATGCGGCTGTTCAGACAATTCCAGACATCCAGACAAGCTTGACATAGCTTTAACAGATTCATCAGTGAAATGAAGATGTCTGGTGGTCTAAATATGTGTGTGAGCGTGGGAGGACTTCACATTCGGGATTTGTGGGACTGAAACTCTGCCCTGTGGCTAATTTAAGGCTCAAGAGGGTTAACAACTGGCCTAGTGTCATTTTACAGATAATCCTCAATTTCCTCATCTGTAAACTGAGAATAAAATTAAAATATATCTCACAGTGTTGTTATTAGGCTCAAATGAGATGATTTACACAAAGAACTTTTTAAATGGTAGAGTCCATATAAATGTATCATTGGGCTTTTTGGGAGCAGCTCACTCTTTGTAAAAATGAGTTACAACACTCATCTTCGTTATCGGTCATTTTTAGAAACCATATATAGAACACACTTTATAAATCATGACTCTAGTAAAGGTACTACAATTGTTCTTAAACTGGTAATGTTTCAAAAGAAGTCATCTTGGGATACTAGATCTTCAGACAACAAAGGAACCCATTGTGCTTTCTAAAAAGTCATCTCATTGAGTTACCTTCAGAACCTATGTACAAACTGAAGAAAAGTCAGTCTCAAAAATCACTGCTCATTTATGACCCAATAATGGTATCCACTTTATTTACCTCACTCTGAATGACTTTTGGCTCAGATATAAAGTCAAGTTGATCCTGAAAGAGAGAGATTAGTATTATGCTTCATGGTAACAATTTCACAGAACCTTAGCATTTGAGCCTCCTGGTGGTTCTTTCGGCCAGGCGGGGTCCATACTCATGGATCTAGTTTATAAAGAAGTGAGGGCCAGAGAGATCAAGCTCTGATGTAAACTCTGCTTTCCTATTTCCAAAGGGATTTCTTGTCCTAGGGAGAAATTCCCTCTACTCCTCAGGCTGTTCCCACAGAAGTCCTCAAATCATTAAGTCAGTTCCAAAGTAGAGTTGCCAAAAATAGTGGGAACAATGGTAACACCATTGGAATATAAGTAGCATCCCTCAGAGTAGCCACATTGAAACTTCTAACATTTTCACAGGTGTCAGTCCCGATACATCCATTTCAAAATCAGTCTGTTGGATTTTTTTATCTCAAAGCCACCTTATACGTTATCTATTTCTAAATCTTTCATTTTTAGAAGAAACTGAGACTCAGAAGGTTCAAGGGACTCAAAATATTCACTGACGCTTGAGTGAATTGACAAGGTCACATGACAATTCAGTATCAAATCATGAAGAAACACAATGAACCCAGAATTGCTTTTTAGAAAACGAAAACAACATGGTGGTAAAAAATGATGCCCATATGCATATGGCATTATCAGTGTGAGATTGTTTTCAAATTTTGAACTATTTTTTCAGTCTTGAAAATTCACTCTACATTGATTCTATTTCCTCTTAACATGCCAAAAATAATTCCTACCAACTCAATGTAACTTCCCCAAAGCCCTTATTTTCTCCTCCGTCTGGTATAAATGGCTTCTTTCTGTGTGTTCCACTAGCATTTGTGGCTTATGACTGTTTTGACACTGGCACAGCAGCCTAATCTCCACTTTGCACATTGTGAACTTCTTGAGGGCAAGGACTCTTACTGGCTCCTCTTTCCTAGGAACCTAGCATGCTGCCGCCTGGTACATGATAAAGTATGTTCATTAAATTTTTGAGGGATTAATGGATGGAGAAAATCTAAACTATAAGATAGTGTAAATAAACAAAAAAAAGTTTATACCATGTTAACACACATCCAGTCTGATCAAATGCTTATCTATTTACTATCGTCTTGATCTCTCGGAAAAGCATGCGGCATTTTAATTGTGAGGATTCTGAAGGGTATGCAGTCATAGCCACCACAGAAGGACCAGGGTCGAGGACACTGCATGAGGATTATTGTTGTTCCTAGAATTATTTTTAGTACTTCTATTCAGTTGCATGCATTCCTTTGCAGGGAATTTAAAGTGCTTCATTCACATGTCTGCTTAATTATCACAGTGCTGTGAGCTGTGTAGGGACAGGATTATCACCTTATTTCATGAATGAGGAAGCTGGAGGAGCTTGACTCATTCAAGGCCATTCAGGTAGCTTTTAGGAGGGAGAAGATTAGAAACATTTCTTTTATTCTTGGTGTTTCTATTGTGTGGAATTGCCACTAACTTTAGCAGTAATCACAGCTTGACTGCTACTGAGAGACTCAGCCTTCACTTGGTTGCTGAGCCCAGGTACCCACAGTTCAAGCTGCCACCGTCAAGAATACACTGTGCCAGGTTTGCTTCACCCGCACAAAGAGGGCCCGAGGTATTACTGTTAATCTCTTCCTCAGGACCAGCTACATAATTTGCAGGGCCCAGCACAAAGTAAAAATGTTGTCTCCTTCTTCAAAAATTATTAAGAATTTCAAGAAGGATTCTGCAGAGCATTAAGCCCTTCTGAGGTTGCACACTCACGAAAGTCACTTTATCCTTGCTGTTCTCCTGTTATCTTCCAAATCCTCACAAAGTTTGACATAACGATCTCTCCTAGCTTCTCCTCTCTTCTCTACCTGCTTTCAGTAACATCCCATTCAGCATATCCTCTATGCTGACATTGGGGTGAAATTTCTAAAATAAAATCTGTTGAGGTCATTAGCTTGTTTAAAATCTTTCAATAATTCCTTATTATCTCCTGGGATAAAGTTAAGATTTCTTAGGCTTCTCTTTCAATTGTCTGTTGCTGCATAATAAACCACCCCAGAACTCAGTGGCTTAAAACAGCAACCACATATTTGCTCACAGTTCTGGGTCTGATCACTTGGCCCTGCTCCCTGTGGTGTTCGCTGGGCTCACTCATGTGTTTTGTGGTGCACTGGCAGATCAGCCAGGGACTGGCAGGCCCCAGACGACAGTAGCCTGGGGCTCTCTGCTGGGGTGCCTCAGTTCTCCTCCATGAGGACTCGCCAGCAGGCTGGCTGGGTTCTTCTCATGGGGCAACTAGATTCCAAGAGAGTAAAAGTGAAAGCTGGGCATGCTTCTTGAGGCCTCAGCTCATGCACAATGTCACCTCTCCCACATTCTGTTGGTCAAAATAAGTCACAAGCCCAGCCCAGATTTCAGAGGTTGGGGAAATAGATCTCACGTCCTGATGGAAGACCAGCAGCATTATATTGCAAAGAGGTGCGACTGGAGCGGCATAAGGAATCTGCGGCCGTATTCCGCAATCTACCACACCTTGCCCTGTGTCCTTCCTGACCGACACTTGCCGACCTCTCCTTCCCTGTCTCCCATTTCTCTCACAAGGCAATATTCTAGCCTCGATAATGTGACGCTAATGATAACAACAGACAGAGTCACAGAATACCTTCTTTGTCTAGAACACTGTAGCTGATGTTGTGCATATATTATTGCACTTCATCCTCCAAATTCCCTATCATGAAAGTGTTTTTATTTCCATTTTAGACATGAGGAAACCGAGACATTCAGGAGCTTAAGAGTTCTCACAACAAGGAAGAACCTGAACTGAGATTCAAACTCAGGTATGCTTGATTCCAACATCCATTAACTTTTCACTATGCCACACAGCCACACCAGAATATCTGCCTCACTCAACACGTACTCACACACCTTTGTGGCTTTCACGTGCTGTTCCCTTTGCCGGAAAAAGCCTCCATCTGTCTCTTCTCTCTTCTTCTTTCTTTTCATCCTCCTTTCCACGCACCAGGGAAAGGACATATACAGCTCAATATGAAAACTTCTGATTTCCCCAGGCAGAGTTAGGTCACCCACTGTAGTCTCCTACGCAACCTTTTGCGTATCTTTTGCTCCTTCTTGGCCATTTGCTCCTTCGGCATAGGAGTCTTATCTTATTTTTGTTTGCGTCTTCCAGGTCTAGAACAGTGCTTGGCTTATAGCCATTTCTTGATAAATAATTGTTGAATGGAATTTTTAAAAGCATGCTAACTTTTATAAGTAAGATTATATTCAGGCATATTAATAATTTTCACTGAAATAAGCAATTGAAAGAGTCAAATGGTCGAAACAATTGTCCATGTAGAGTTTCAGAAAATCTTCTGCATGTGCCAGTTGTTTCAGGCCGCTCATTCATTCACTATTCAGGCTTCTATGTACAGAACATCGTGTACTTCCACGAGGCACTCATGCATTTAGTCACTCATTAAGAAAATTAGCAGATACAAAAATCAACCAGTTTTATGCTCAATAGCACTGAATTCTCTGTTTTTTTGTTTTGTTTTATTTTTGTAATCAATATTGTGATTGATGCTATAGGTTAGCTAACTTGACACCCATTCCCAGCCCCATTCTTTCTTGGTTACCTTCACTATGAAGGCTATAAACACTATACACTCAATTTCTCAGCATTCCTTGCAGATATGGGTAGTCATATGACACAGTGTTGGTCCATGACACATAATTTGAAGTATGCCAGCACAGTTTTGTAAGAATTTCGTTCTCCTCTTTCAAGAAAGCACAGACATAGCTGGCCTCACACCTGCCTTCCTTTCTCCTTGCTGTGAGCACAGACATAATGCCAGGAGCGACAGCAACCATCCTGAAACTATGAGAAACCAGCGTCGCGCTCAGCATGGCAGAGTGTTAGGACAGAGAGAGCCTAAGCCCCTAGGATGTGGTGGAGCTGCTGCAGAAGCCCCCAGGCAGCCCACGTCCAGACTTCCTCCCAAGGACAAAAGAGAGCCCTGTTTGTTTAAACCACTTTTGATCAACTTTTCTCTCCCTGCAGCCAAATGCATTCCTATATGATGCAAATACAGTTTGACACTACAGGGTGCAAATGACCTAAAAGGGGGAGGGGTCCCTATTATAGTTAAACAAAAATAACAACAATACTGTAACACACAGCCTAGAGGGCAGGGGTATGGGTTTGTTTTTGTTTTATTCACTGCAGTATCTCCAGAACTTAGAACAGTGACTGGCACATAGTAGGCATTCAATCAGTATTCACTGGCTGAATAATGTTACTGTGTTGGGAGCTGCCCCCTAAATTGTGTGTCCTTGACTCACTTCTGCAAGATGCCTTTTCAGCTGTACACCTTCATGGCTCTCTGAAACCTCACTCAGCTGCTAGAAGTGTCCGGAAGCAAAGGTCCATGCAGCCTCAGAAGAAGTCAAAGAGATGAATCGCAGGAGCCCTCTACATTTGGTAAAATCCTATGCTCTCTTTATTATAACATCACCAAGGCCAGTGTGAGAGGACATTGGAGAAGCGACCTGGACTCAGCACTAAATGAAGAGCCATGTCGCAGAGCTCACTCGGGCTCGCCTGCCTCCTGACTCTGTGCTGCGTCCCTCTGTCTCTCTGTCTCTCTGTCTCTCTGTCTCTCTCTCTCTCGGGAAGGATGTGATCTAAGAAGGGCCCCAAGCACAAAACGTGGCCATAAGATTTCTGGATTCTTGCCTCTCTGCATTTTTATCATCAGGGAGATGACAGAGGTTCGTGAAGCAGAGAAGGGTTAGTTGCTGAGCTTTGGGTTTCCTGCACATGCTTACCGGGATTTTGCTGTCTTTCACATCCAGTATCTCCCAATAGACCAGAAGCATCAAGTGCCCTTTGGGTGAATTCCATACTTAAATAATTAAACACGACTCATCATTCCTCCATCTATGTTCAAGAGATCTTTTAAAGGAGAGTTCTTCCTTCCATTGATCCACTCCAACAGAAACATCTTGCTTTATTTTCAGCACTCAATATACCTGAGAAAACACGAGTTGCACGTACAGTTAATTACAAGCTGTTGGTGTGAGGAAAACAATGGCGATGTGATAAATTGATGTAAAAATAACTAGGAATGAAGTTCACTATCTTATAAACAATTAGCATGTCACCCTCTGGAGAACTATTATCAGAATTCCTACTATTATTATTCTTTCTTTTCAGAGATTTCTAGTGAAGGATTCATTTTGATTGTTTAAAACTAGTTCCTTGTTAATCTTCATACCTGCTTTTACTCTACAGAAAACAATACTAAATACTTCCCTTAAAGTGGATTTGTTTGTGCTATAATTGTGCTGCCTGTAATGTCCAAGGAGAAAAATTACTCTCCAGAGAACGGTATAAACTAGTCTAACAATTTTCTTAAGGAAACGCTGAAGTAATAGACTATTTTCACTTTATTTAAAAAAATAGAAACACACTCGGCAGTATGAGTTCAGCATCCATCAACATGCCACATCCCAGCCGGAAAAGTTTTTTCACAAGAATTAGCTAAATATTGGAAAGGCCTTTTGAGTCTCCATTTTCCTACTCTCTTTGGAGCTCATGAGCTCTAATAGGCACAGTAGTACGCTTTGACATTTCTGTAAATTGTGCCAAGACATTGGTTATGAGGAACAGATTCAGAAGTCATTTGCCTCCTTGTGGCCTTCCTTTTGTTTTCCATTTGGGATCTTCCCTGCCTTGTGCACAAGTCAGTATACCTGTCCGCGGAGAATTTGTACTGGGTTTGCTTCTGCAAAAAAGTAATTGGATTTCTCCGTTGAGTTTTGACCCCTGTTCTAACCTCAACCGTCACCCTTTCTCCAGACCAAGGGAGATCTGAGCTTTGTTTATGATGGCAAGAGTAGAGAAGAGTCAACTGACAGGTCAGGGTCAGGCGGTAATGAAACAGTGGGATCAGGTGGTGGCAGCTTCAGCATCTTTCACAGGACGCTGAGCAAGAATGAAGACTCAAGGGCACCTTTCAGAGAAAAGCAGAGGTGGAGATAATATAAGGTCTTGGCTGTGCTGAAGCCTCCACTGGCCATTGTCGTCTTGCAGAAACATTCCTAGCTGTGCAACTGGCCTGCTTTATGGAAGGATGAAGTTGTTTATGGTAGAGATGTGCTGCAAAGTATTTTAGAACCTTGACAGGTGTTAGACATAATCTATGAAGCAATGAAAAGTGTGAGTATTTCACAGATCATCTCCCAGCTTAGCTCCCTGGGAGGACCCCTTTTATAAGTCTGTGGTTGTGCTCCTTTGGGTATGGAGCTCGCATCACTATTTTGGGAACCAACAGTGGGAACGAACAGTCAGCTTGACTGTGTTCCTGTTCTTCAGTGTATATAAGCAGTCACAAAATTTGGCTTCTTGATGTGAAATGACACCTGATATGGAACTGTCCCCTAAGGAGGTGTCAAACATAAAAATTCAACAGAGAGGAAGAAGTGTGAGTCCAGCTGCGCATGCGCTGAGCAAACACTGGAACCGGTAAAAGTGAACTCTGGGATGATTTTTAAATAGTCTCCCACACGCTCTGTGGGGAGGTTGGTTTGGAGATTGGTTGGGGGATAAAGAGCTCTCTAGAGACCATGTCAAAAAAACTACAAAAGATATTTAAAAGACTACCTGGCATTTATTTAGTGCTTGTGAAGAGCCGGATACTGTGTTAAGTACTTGTCAAGCATTGTCTCATGGGTTCATGATTAAAGTTTTTGAGGAAGGCATTATTATGATCACCTTTTTACAGTTGAGGAAACTGAGGTTTAGAAAGGCTGACTAACCAATGAATGGTTAACCCAGGTCTGTCTGTGTCTAGTGCTCCAAAACCTTAACTGGTAAACATGTTGACTATTCACTCATAATTTCAAAGTCAGGCGTTTCACTAAATAAAATGAAGAAATAGTAATCTGGAAAATGTGAATAGTCATTGGACCCCAAAGTGAAGTTTATAATGACAAATCCTGAACTATCCCATTAGACAGCCAGCCAGACTTGAGTTGCACATGGATTCAAAGCAATTTACATGTTTGCTCCACATAGGAACTAATTTCAGAATAGCAAGTTTGTTAATATGCCAGTCCTTCCTTTAATGTACTGATTTTTAAAATACAGGCACTGTGCCCTTTTTATTGTTTTGCATTTTACCAAGATGCTCACGGGACCAAGATGCTCACGGGACCAAGATGCTCACGGGACCAAGATACTCACAGGACCAAGATGCTCACGGGACCTGTGCTGCAATACAAGCCTTCTTCGCCCATCTATTTACCTAAGGGCACAGGTGCTGTCAGAACTTTCTTGTTAAGAGTTACTTTAACTCACGTTGTTCAAAGGGTCAATTTCTCCCAGGCGGAGCACTAGGGGTCTGGCGGAAGGAACTTTCCAAGTGCTGGCACTGAAACAGCAATGCTTGTTCTGAGAGCGCTGATATTTATTTTCCCCACTAGAGGACAGTGCTTGAAAGAATAACAGCCCTTACCTCTGAGGTTAGGCAGCACCAAGGACTGGAACAATCCCCTCATTGTGACTTCCCTAACCCACGTGCAGAGCACAGAAAGATTTTATTTCTTTGGAGGAAAAAGGAGAAATAAATATGTTTGCTCTAACATGATGCAGAAAGCAATGATGACACTGTCTTAACTGGCTTAGCACGAGAAAAGAGAAATGCCAGTAAATTTAGCATTCAGAATCACTAAGGAGCCAATGAAAGAAGACATCCTTGTAAACGGACGTGAAATCCCTTTAAAGAAAGTCTTAATGAGAGGCTATTTGTTGAAGCCATGACCAAGTGCTCAGAAAAATAATCTCTGTTGCTCTGATTTGATCATCATTAGAATTTACTTTGGTGAACAATTTATTTCAATAAACGTGCTTTTTTCTTCATCAGTATAGTTGTCACACGTGGTACATAGTACAAAACACAAGCTCAAAAAATAGATGATGGTATGTAATGCTTAAGCTTTGCCCCTTGAAGAAGGGGATGAGTGTCGCGGGGAGTGGTTAACAGTATTTGAAGGTAGAATTTAAAGTCTGTAGAACCTTGCCAAGGACCCCCTTTTCGTTACCTGCTCGAGTCTTCCAGTAAGAGCATTGCTAATTAGATAGACTGCCAAAGTGGAGGCATTGTTTCCTTAAACCATAATTAAAGCTCACAGTCCCTGAGTCTTGACCTCTGCTTTAACAAGGACCATGGGGACCCTGAGGGATTAATCGAGGATTCATACTTTTCAAAAGGGGCTTGGGGGTGGAGGGAGGGGGGGAATACAATGAGAGACTAAGTAGGAGTTTATCAAAGGGTACCAAATTCTAGCTTCTCATTTTCCCTGGCATTAGCCCAGGTGATTCAACAATCAGCAAGTAGGTGTTGAGTGCCTGCAGAGTCACAGAAATGGAAACTACTGGAGATGCTGGCATAGTGCTGGGTATTATAGGAGGTTACAAAAATTGTAAGTCTTTTTCCTGGCCTGAGGGATAAATGAATATACTCAACAATACAACTGGAAGAAGGATACGGTGAATGTGGAAAGAGGTCAGATGTGAGGGTGGGGAATGGAGGGTACTACTCCTATCTCAGTTCAATGAAACAAGGCATCTTCCCTCTAAGAGCTTATGGTCTGGTGGAGATGATGTCATGACAGCCAAGTAACCATCCCTAGTTGGAGAGCAACCCTATCTGACTGTTCACTCCCATTCATTTTCCGCCCTTGACTTGAAGGGAATAGTCCTGGGGACCATGAAAGCAAGGTTTTTAACAAAAATCATCATAATCTGGAAGATCAGGAGTTTTGTTCAACCCGCCCTAGCTGTGGGACTCTGTATGGCCCTGCCCAGGACATCTAACCACTCTGTGCAACACCAACACAGTCTTCCTCTTTCTAGAATGGAATTACAGATACACCCATGTCATAGGGCTCCGTGTGTGATGGACAGCAGATAAGGTGGAAACTCCTCCGAGCCCCTCACAGAGCTCTTCTGTTAGGGACCCATCGCGATCTCATAGACTCACCAATTTCAAAGGAATAGGCTTTAATCAGTCTTCCTTTTTGGATGTAGCCCCAGATGAATGGAGACCCAATTATTCACATCTCAAAGAATCTTTAACTTTAAAACCTTTAAGGTAGGATTTTTTTTTAAATAGGCATTTTTTTCCACAAAGGAATTAGCCACAATTGTATAATGCTGGATCTGGAAGAGATTCTAGAGATGTTTAAGGCACGCAAACACTACTCGCTGATTGCTAGATAAGGAAACAACAATCGTTGTTTTTCCCTGAGTCAAGAGCAAATTTTTGGAAGAGTTGGACCCATGTCTTCTGATTCCCAGCCCTGTAGGTCGGTCGGCTGAGAACTACGAACACAAGATCAGAACCAAAAATAAAGGTAAAGTGACTTTAAAATCATCATGTTATTCAGTGAGATTTGCTTCATTATATAACTATTCAGAAATATAGCTATAAGAAATATTGAAGTACCAATATCAAGAGTAACAGAAAATGTGTGCACAGATGCTGTTTATTATATACTGTAGGGGAGGAAGACATTTCCTCTACCCACTGTGAGTTCTTCTGGCCAGAGAAGGAATTAAATTCACATGAGACAGAATAACAGGAGGAAATTAAACAAAGCTTTATAACATGTATACATGGGAGAGGCTCAGGCAAGCCGAGCAACTCGCCAAAATGGCTGAAGCCACCACCTTAAATATCATCTTCAGCTAAAGACAAAGGAGGATGTTGGGGGTGGGGGGAGTCAGTTACAGGAGGTTACCAGACAAGCACAGTAAACAGGAATAAGATTATTATGCAGATTTAAGTCCTTGCCTTCTGCATTGATAAGAGTTTCTGGAGATAAGGTCATCCCTTCTTCCTGGTACAGAGAGGGAGACACATTTGCAGATGGAGATTTCCTTTACAATGTAAACGTCTCTTAAAAAAGCGTAAGTAAACCCTGCTTCTCAGAGTTCCTTTCCTGTCTGCAGTTTCTTAAAAGTAACCAGCCCCAAATAATCCTCATGCCAAAGAGACATATCTTGGGGTGGCCAATTCCAGTCCCCCACAATACAATCACTGGCCCACCAGTTATTTCTAGTTTTATCAGAATCAACATGGCAATGAAATGTGTCCTTGACCTTCCAACCTCCTTATTAAAATGCATTAAATTTATTTTTATCATACATAGAAAGATAAGGTTATCAATTACAGGAACTGCTTATCAGCAAAATGTAAAATAGCAGAAAAGTCATTTGATAGTTTAGTTAAGAAGAAAAAGGAACAGAGGAAGGAAAAATGTCAGAATAAAGGAAAGCTTAGGGAATAAATATGAAATCTGTGTTCATAAAGAACTCAATATTTGTAACTTGAACTATTTCCTGGAAAATATTCTCTTATTTTAAAAGAAAGGAGATACCGCAGAGTAAGTATACAAGTGTGTTTATATGTAAACTGCCATTGAAAATTAAATAAATAAACTGTTGTATAGCCTTTGCTGGAAGTATTACAAGTGAAAAGATCACCTCGCCTCCAGGGTGGTGGGCAGGATTGTGGGTGGCTGGGGGCAAGCAGGGGCAGGAGGCAGAGATGGCTCAGAGGCCACCCTAGAGGCCTGACCTTGACTCCTGTGTAACCCTGTCGGTAAGTGGAGTTTGAGGGCGTCTTACGTGGTAAGAAGTTCCCTTCACAGTGATTTAGAATACACATGCTTCAATAGAAAGCAGAAGATTATTTTCTCTCCCGAAAATAGAGAAATGGAGAGCTCAGTTCTGCCCACTTCGGCCCATGTTTAGAGCACTGCTGTTAAATGAGCAGCCAGCCCTCTGCTTTCAGGTTTTCCTGCCAGTCAGTCAAAATGCTGGGGAAGTGGGTTCTCAGTGTTGCGTGTTAGTCAATGCCCTCAGTCTGAAAAAGACCACATTAGGGGCTGGCCCTGTGGCCAAGTGTTAAGTTCGTGCGCTCTGCTTTGGTGGCCCAGGGTTCACGGGTTTGGATCCTGGGCCTGGACCTACAACCACTCATCAAGCCATGCTGAGGTGGCGTCCTACATAGAAGGACTAGAATGACTTACAACTGGGATATACAACTATGTACTGGGGCTTTGGGGAGAAAGAAAAGAAAGAGGAAGATTGGCAACACATATTAGCTCAGGGCCAATCCTCCTCACACACACGCACACACACACAAGACCATGTTGAGGCTGGATTCACTGGCATTTAATTTCTATGAATTTACATGTCAGTCACAGGTTTTAGCTTCCTCCACAAAATAAACTAGTGAAAGTCACCTGTACTGATACAAAGATTCTCAGCCTAATTCATCTGAAATATTCGTATACATTTAATAACAACTCCTAATTTACAGGAACAGATAGACACTAGGTATTTGGGGGCCATTATTCTTTTATTATTCTCTTTTTTTAGTAGGAAGGAATATTTTGAGTCTATTTGGGTGTTGGTGAAAGAGAAGGAGTTTAAATTCATAGTCTCAAGGCTGAAAGCAGCAAATTGTTTTTTCTTTTTTGAGGAAGATTGGCCCTCAGCTAACATCTGCTGCCAATCCTCCTCTTTTAGCTGAGGAAGACTGGCCCTGAGCTAACATCTGTACCCATCTTCCTCTACTTTATATGTGGGACACCTGCCACAGCATGGCTTGCTGAGCAGTGCCATGTCCACACCCGGGATCCGAACCAGAGAACCCCAGGCTGCCGAAGCAGAACGTGTGCGCTTAACCACTTCACCACCAGGCTGGCCCCTGAAAGCAGCGATTTTTATATAGAACTATAATGTTCTATGTATACTGTCTGTCTATTTAACTATTTACCTATACTTCTATTGACGGAGTAGTTTTCCAAAACTTTTTCAGCTGTGGAATCTTTAAAAAAACATTATCTAAAAATGTAACATAAAAAGGAAGGTGCACCGGTTGTGTCTGGGGAGAAGCCCACACAGACGGGCTCTGCGAGTGGCCACCGTGTGTTTGGAAAAGGGCTAGTGATGGCTGAAGGAACATCTGTGACCCCACGGCGGCTGCTTCAGCCCATCTCAAGAGGAAATACTGCAAACCAGCCTGTGTAATGAAGAGTCACCAGGTAGGCTGCTTCAAGCCATTGCCAAACCAGAGGTAAATTATTCATTATCGTTAATTAACTAACAAAATCTGCAATCCTCCTTCTTAATCTGTGCTGACTGGAAACACCATAGCGAATCAGCAACCACTCAAAATAATACATCCCACCTGTTAAACATCCTCCAAATCACAGCTCACCCAGAAAACAGGACCCCTTCTGCTAGTGACGGGACAGCAGTTCAGGAAGAGTCCACTGCTAGCTATTTCTAAAGAAGGTGTCTCCGTTTGCCTTCCATACTTCAGTGGGGGAGAGTGGATTTCTGTCACTTTACTTACTTGCATTTCTATTTCAGTCCATACAGAGACTTATTTTGGTTGTTGAGTGTATAGTCGACGAGCGATGTTTATCACGTATTTGAGCCAGCGTTGTCCGGGCCTGCGCCCTCTCAGAGGGCGGGACTCGGGACTGGCCGCTGCTTGACTTGAGCTCTGGGCCACCTGCTGTGCAGGTCAGGTGCGAGGCATGGCCCTGGCGCCGATGGCTTTCTGGGACGTCCTGTCCATCCTCGTTCTCCCTCCGGCCCCCATTCAGACTTCGCTCTGTAGAAAGATTGTATCCGCTGAGCATCTCCCGGGACTGAAAAAGTGAAATGCAGATGGTATCTGGCTTTAGCCCAAATAATTCTGAGTCTTAAAGGCACAGGGACCTCACTGGTATACTTCACTGGCAAAGTGTTGCTTTTTTTAAAAACATTGAACCCTAGAGTTAGCTCATCAGATCATTCAAATAAAGCCCAGCTGATCAGACTTTATAATCCCCGTGACAACTTTTTATAGTAAATATTAGAAACAGATGAGATAGGTGGGTAGCCCAGTTATGATTCTCTGTGACAACGGAACAGCCAGGCCAGGTGTCCTCTTAAACATGGGTTCGGCTTCCCTCTGAAGCCTTCCAGATTGCATCTGATTCCAAGGGGCCTTCTGGATCAGGAAAAACGACGTCATCAAAAAGCTTTCTTCAGTTGCTGCTTGAAGTTAGGCAGTCTTTGTGCTTTCAAAACTCCCTTCAGGTTCCCAAGGGAGAGGACAGATCTTTGAAATTTACATGTGCCTTACTAAATTTGGATCAGTGCACTGGTCCTGGGCAATACAGAGTTTTCAGTCCTCAGGAAATCAAATCAACCCTAAATGGACTTACCTACTCACATGTCTGTCTTGGGAAGGAAGGGGTAAAAGATGAGAGGGGAGGCTGCTGAAATCGAATATCACATATTCTCAGATATAAGGGTCCTTGCAGCTTTAAATGAGCATTTGCTTAGAACAATTGGTAATCCATTCACTCATTCACCAGTTCATTCTGTAAATGCTTACTGGGTGCCTGAGATATATCAGACACTGTGCCACATCTCCTTTCCTTAAAGGTTTATAGCTTAGTGCTATACACACAAAAATAAACAATTATGACTGATAATGTATAGGCAGAAGGTGTACAAGGCCCTGAAGGGGAGCAGAGAAGAGCCTAACCTAGCCTTGGACGTGAGGGTGGCATTAAGATCAGCTGGGCTAAGGGAGGTGCATATGAGAGAACGGCAAGAGATGAGGAGGGAGAGATAATCAGGCCAGATTTTGAAGGGCCTTGTGCACCAAGTTAATTTACCTGACCTTGATCTGCCTTTGTTTCTCAAGACTTTAATATCCTGGTGTGGCCCATATCCCAAAACCACAGGATAAACAAGGAGTGTCTTCCTGAACCATTGGTTCTGCTTAGTGGTGAGTAATTTAAAATATTTGTTATTAAAGGAGTAGAATGCAAAATCTGCAGACATTTATAAGATAAATCAGGAGAGTCCTGAAACATGCGTGGTTGCGATGGGTAACTTCAAGGCCTGCTCTCTCCTCTGCCCTTGTAGACAGTTTTGCAAAGTGCATTATGACCAGAGCTACTTAATGATTTTAAGCAGACCAGTGAGAGGAGCCCACTTGCAGTTTAGCAAGACCCCAGGCTACGAGGTGGAGAAGGATTTAGAGAAGGGTGAGGGTGAGATGAGGAGGCAGCTAGGATGCTCTTGTGGCCACCAAGATGAGACGTGATGCTGATACCAGCTGGAGTCACCAAGGCAGAGGGATAAAAATGTGATTTGCAAGATATTACGAAGACAGACTCAATGGGATAATTATTGATCGATTCATTTATTTAAAACCATTTATTGAGTAGCTACCATGTTCCAGGCATTGTTCCAGTTTATAGCAGAGAATAACACAGAAAAGACTCCTGCCTTCTTGGGCTGATATTTGAGTGGAAAGAAGCAGACAAAAAATAAATAAACAAGAAATTAACTTAATCAGATAAATGGTAAATGCTCTGAAGGAAATGAACTGGGCAATGTGATATCGCCTTGGGGAGCAGATAAGGTGGTCAGGAAAGGGATTTGAAGAGTGAATGGGAAAGGAAGGCAAGCATGATGGTGGGTGACAATGTCCTACACTGAGACCTGGACACAAGAAGATTTGAGAGGAAGTCACGTTGAGTTGTTTGGGAGATCCATGAGAACACATGCAGAAGAGAAATATGAAGAGATACATACACACACACACACACACACACACATACCCCCAGACATACATTCTCATGAGCGTACATGCACACCACACACACACACACGGAATCACTCCATACAGTAACAGGGAAATACTGAAACTAAAGATCAAGATAGCAGCAGTATGAAGTGAAGGTGCGGTGCTAGAGGCCTCTTGAGCAGGAGTGAGGGTTTGAATGAAAGATCACTTACTCTCTATTGGCCGAGAGTCATCAGCGTGTGTGCCATGAACGGCATGTCCCCTCATGTTCGGTAGATACAGTCAATGGTTTCACGGTTTACCTGGTAAATGTGCTACTCTGCTCTATTAGTGGAAATAATGGTAAGTGTGCGCATAGGGAGCTCAGGGGAGCAGCCCACGCCCACCTTGGGCACACTCTAGACGTCACTTCCTCACTGTCCACCTGAACTTCAAAAAGACCCTGTACAGGGCCCAGAGGGACTCCAAGCTCTGAGGAGGTCCGTGCCCGGCAGCTCGGGGAAGCCATTAAGATAATGAAGGAGCCTGGTGTTCTTCCTTGCAGGTTCCCTACAGCCCCAATTATGAAACTTAAAACCCTGAATTCCAAGGATTTATTGATATAGAAAAGGCCCCATTTTTTTTTTCCCAACAAAGTGAGACAATAAAACCCCAATTGAAAAAGAAGGAAGCCCAAGAAACTTCTGGAAGAAGTGGAGGAACGGTACGTAGACAACATTGTTTCCCCTCCCACAGCCTTCCACTGCAGCTGAATGTTTTACTTCAACTGCCGTTGCTTAATAATGTGAGCGTTTACAGTGACCTTTAAATTGCTCATTTGGTTAGAGACAGTTTCAGTGAGGCAGATTTACCTAGAAAAGTGCCCACTGATTTATGCTGAAATCCTTCATAATTATTAAAGCCACTGACCTCACTCACGGAGTCTTCCAACATCACCATCAAAGAACACCCCACCTTCAAGAAAAAACTGTGCCTACATGAAAGGACCTTTTGAGCAAATGAAAGTTTCTCTCCTGACATGCAGCTTTAAATAGATCTTTTCATGCGTTATCCTATTCCAGTCGATGGAAATGAGTGATTCTTTCCCTGTCATGGGGTTATATGTTAAGAGCGGGCTTAAAAACCATAGTGTGCTGGCCAAGCCTGAATACAGACACCTTAGGAGGATGTCGATCATGTCGATCTGGTAACTGGCTACTCAGGGAATAGAACTAGACAGGCTAGATGTTCAAAGAAGGAACCAGGATGTGAAATAGATGGCGTATGATTATCCCACAGCATATTCTGGAATTAAATGTGGGCGTGTGATTGTCCTTGTTTTTCTGTATTTTTTCCCACATGCTCCAAGTCTCAGAGATTCCTGGCGCAGGCCCATGCTCTGAGGTTGTTTCTCTGCTCATCTAGGCTGTAGTGCCATAGATACGAAAAAGCCCCTACTTTTCTAAATTTAGACATGAGGGGCTATCCAGTAACCAAATATATGTGCCCACTGGTAGCCTTTTTCCAGGAAAAAAAATCAGCTGGTCTCCATGAATGCAGTTCTATAATCATATCTTTCCAAACCAAAGGACTGGATGTCATTGTCAACTTTTTTTAAGAATAAGCTGAAACCCAGTCAGATGAATTATTCAGGGCTACTATATGTCAGTGCCACATTAGCTGGGCACTTGAAAAACAGTTTTAATTTAATATTCAAAAGAAACCAAAACATAGCTTTTCCAGTTTAAATATATGAGGAAATTGAAATTAAGAAAAATTGCCATTTGCTTAACGTCACTTAACACTGACAGGAAAAATATTCCAACTTGGAATCCTGTAACTCTGAAGACTTTTTTCCACTTAGGTCTCTCCATCTTCTTAGAAAAACCTAAGAGGGAAGAAGATATACGTTTAAAGAGGACTAACAGCAAGAGAGAGGGGTTCTGTGTTGGGAGAGCGAGCTGGCTACTGTCATGAGCAGCAAGGTGTCCCTGGGCTGGCTTCTGCCTTGTGAATTCACTGCTGCTGAGGGCCTGGCTCTCAATCTTGGAAGCTCAAAACTGTAATCTGGTCTATATTCCACGGTTATTCCAGATAGAATATATCATTCTCACTCTCTCAAACAGCACAAAAATGTGTATAAAATCAAAACAATCTTTAAATTTATAAGATGAGAAATGTAACACCAAGGTAGAATGGACAATCACATTAACCTGACCAACACAATCTCTTCCCATAAACAAGATTTATGAGATGCTAACTTATGATCAGAATAAGCAAGAGTTTGTATATTATTCAAAAATATACCATATCGGACTCTCATAGCCATCCACACAATTGGGAATTAATTACTTGGGCCAAGTAATCAATTGGTCTTGATTACCAGACCAAGATGTCAGTCAGTCTTGAATATTTAGATCTAAATTGCTGATATTTACCTCTGGTGCTCTCCTTTTCCCAATGCTTCTAAGGCTAAATAATTCTTCTTTAATTCGCTACATTAACACAATTAATTAGACCGTTGGCAAGCCTTGAGGCCAGGGACTCATTTTGACATTTTTTGGCTTCCTTGAAATACATTTGTGTTTAGCCGTGTATGTTCACAGCTCAACCTTCAGAAGGCGGATGTTAACTTTATTCAGATCTAGCCTTCTACCCTCACTAAGGGCAGAAAAGAACCATTTGATAGTTTTAGTTGTATCTGGGACAACAAAAAGTCCAGTTTTCATTGTGTCGACATAATAAATCAGATAACAAACAAAAAGTAAAACAATAGTGACTCTACATGCAAATGATATGGATTATTTGGCACAATTGTCTCTTAATCTGATGCCTCATTGAGAAAAACTTCAGCTCATTTCTAGCATAAAACTACCATTCTGGAGGAAATTTTTCTCATAAGTAATTATATAAAAATTAAATAAAAATGCTGCCATCAAGTAAATTTGTTAAATTGTACTTTTACTGTATCAGGGCCTCAATTTAATTGTCATCTGTCTGTAAATACTAGGGAAGAATTTGCCATCACTTTAAGAAGACAATGACTGGCACTTTTCCAGCTGTAATTACTCAGAGACAGGACAGCGTTGTGTAGGCTGCCAACACTTGCCCAAAGAATAGTGTTTCTGTATGAGGTAAAGGAAGGGCATGAACGAGGAAATACTGCTTTTAAGCCCATTCCAAATATCAGGGAAAGATTGGGGAGAGACAGTGCCGTTGAGTTAATGAAGGTTACGTTCCAACCCATAATTACGATCCCATTTACAGAGAAAAGCATCCTTCAGTTGCAGACGTCACAGAAACCCATCAAATTCCAATTAGGCTTCTGTTGTAGAGGAACTCAGATTGGAAAGGAAAGATGGATGAGAGATAATTACTTATAGCAGATCACTGCTTTGCTAGTGATGAGATAGGGACGGTAATGGAATGAAATACGCCTGTGTTTTAGATGAAATGGAAGCAGGACGAACTTAGAGTGAGTGGAATGGTGGCTCAGACAGCTGGACTTACAGGTGGAGGAGGCACTGGGTGTTGCAATTAAAGGAGCCGGAAGGAGTCCCTCCCCCAGAAAAACTCTGCCCCTTGCTCTCTGCCAGGGAAATTCCTCTGTGGAATTCTCCATGACAGCGCTATTCTCTTCAGATTCAAAATGCCATTGGGCACGAAAGAACATTAAGCAATTGCCAATTATTCCCTTTTTAGTGGGAAATAATTTCACAACATTTATTTCACAAAAGTTTATTTATACACCAGACCCTGTGATAGGCACTAGAGATCCGGTATGGAACTAACACAGATATGATCCCTTGTCCCGTGGATCTTAGGTTCTAGTTCAGGGACAGCCGTTAGTGAAATAGCCCCTCAGTGAGTGTTTAATTACAGACGGAGGTAAGAGCTGTGCAGAAGAGAAAGCTGAGCCTGAAAATGCATGTGACCTCGTCTAGGATGGAGCCTTGGGGAAATTCTCTGAGGAAGTGATCACTGAGCTGACTGCTGAAGGCTGCACAGGAGACAACCAGGGGAAGAGAAAGATGAAAATCATTCTGGCCAAAATAACAGTATGTTCAATATTCATAAAACGGAATACTGTTCCACCATAAAAAAGGAATAAAGTACAGATTTATGCTATAACATGGATGAAACTTGAAAACATTATGTTGACTGAAAGAAGTCAGACACAAAAGGCCACATATTGTATGATTCCATCCATATGAAATATCCCTAACAGGCAAATACATGGAGACAGAAATCAGATTAGTGATTGCCAGAGTTTGGGGGTAGGGGAGAATGAGGAGTGGCTGTTAAATAGGTATGGGGTTTTCTTTTGGGATGATGAAAATATTCTGGAACTCAATAGTAGTGATGGTTGCACAAGATTGTCAATACACTAAAACACCACTGAGTACTTACTCTTATTTTATTTGAGGAAGATTGGCCCTGAGCTAACATCTGCCACCAATCCTTCTCTTTTTTGCTGAGGAAGACTGGCCCTAAGCTAACATCCGTGCCCATCTTCCTCTACTTTATACGTGGGACGCCTGCCACAGCATGGCTTGCCAAGTGGTGCCATGTCCGCACCTGGGATCCAAACTGGTGAACCCCGGGCCGCCGAAGTGGAATGTGTGAACTTAACCACTGCACCACTGGGCTGGCTCCTGAGTATTTACTTTAAAGTGGTTGAAATGGTGAATTGTGGGTTATGTGTATTTTACCACAGTAAAAAAAAAAAAGAGCAGTATATTCAAAGTTCAAAGGTCCTCCCGCTGGCAGGAGTGAGCATGACCCCTTCCAGGAACTGGATGGAGGGCAGAGGATGGAGGGCAGTGTGGATGGATGGCAGAGGATGGAAGGCAGTGTGGATGGATGGGACTGCATGGAAGGCAGTGAGGATGGATGGCAGAGGACGGAAAGCAGTGTGGATGGATGGCAGAGCATGGAAGGCAGTGAGGATGGATGGCAGAGGACGGAAAGCAGTGTGGATGGATGGCAGAGCATGGAAGGCAGTGTGGACGGATGACAGAGCATGGAGGGCAGTGCGGACGGATGACAGAGGACAGAAAGCAGTGTGGACGGATGGCAGAGCATGGAAGGCAGTGTGGATGGATGGGGTAGGATGGAAGGCAGTGTGGATGGATGGGGTAGGATGGAAGGCAGTGTGGATGGATGGCAGAGCATGGAAGCAGTGTGGATGGATGGGGTAGGATGGAAGGCAGTATGGATGGATGGCAGAGCATGGAAGGCAGTGTGGATGGATGGCAGAGCACAGATGGCAGTGCGGATGGATGGCAGAGGCAACACGGAGACCCCGGAGAGGCACTGGGCTGGAGCACCGGGCTGGGACAAGAGCATGCTGAGGCACAGAGATCCTGTTAGACTTTGGCCTTTATCTTAAGAGGAATAGTAGCCCCTAAAAGTTGGAGAGGGCATTATCAGATATATATTTTTAAAAGATAATCACATATCTAGTTAAGAATAAGTTTTTGTAGCTTGAAAGTAAGATGTGGTAGTAGATGAGATGGAGGAAGAGTTATGTGAACAAGGCAAATGTCGCCTCCTTCCCAATTTTGGTGGAGCTAATTTTGGCTGTATCTGCTACATAGACCTGTATAGAAGTGTTAGATTATCGTAACTCTTGGGAATATTTCAGAGTGAGCTCAAGTAGAAACTGATGCCAAGAGTAATTACCGGGCTTGAGTGTGTGGTAAATTCTCTTACGGTGGGAAAGCAGAAGAGTGGATTAGTTGAAATTTCATGGGTTTTTAAGAGGAGGGGCCTAGTAGCTGCTCAGCATAGAGGTCTGTCGTTCTTCGGGGCGAGTCAGTGAAGAGCAGGCGCAGGTGGGGTTGGAATCATCAGCAATGGCATAATATGATTTCAGTTTTGCACAGTTGGTGAAGTCTCTTGAGGATGGACTAGAACGCTTGTGGAAAGCTACAGACTGGCCACAGGGACTGTTTGCCTGCATCGCTCAGCATGAACACTGTGTGCTGCGTTGGAGTAGAAATGAGGCCACGTCTAAGTTTAGAGAAGGTGCTTCAGGAGGCGATGTGCTAACTGATGTTAGAAATCAGAGGGCTGCTAAAAGACAAATGGAGCACCGCGATGTAAGCTGCCATTCATTCGTTCTTTCCTGTCTCACTCAGCAAAGGTTTACGGAGTATTGCCTATGCTGGGCACTATCCTATGCATAAGTTCACAAGAATAATACTCAAAATTAGGTCATCTTACGAAAACTAAGAAATTCCAAATATAGTTTCACAGGTAAGATTCACAAAAGAAACTTTCTGTATAGATATTAAGGCCAGAACCTAAGCACTCTTGTTTGCTTTCTAACCACATATCTGTTATAAGATTTATTTTCTCATTGGGCATAGTCTTTGAATGAATAAATTAAACAAAAACCAACTTTTTTGCCTGATGTCATATTTCCATCAATTGCTATTTTTTGCCCCATGGTAATGTTTTTTATAATACCAGAAAGTATGGAAATCTCAGGTAAAAATTTGAAAATGGGTAAAAAGATAAAGACTTCTTTTTGTTTGTATTTATTTACAGATAAACTTGTGTTGTTATAGTCCACTGTAAGATGTAAGATTTTTCAGAACCATCTGACAACGGAAAAGTAAATGTCCGGTGAAATCCCAGGAAGCAATTTCTTTGTGGACACAGTTCTCAGAAAGTAGAGTTGTCCAAGTTCCCATCGCAATAAAGCAGCACCGCGGAAATCCCCAATGTCTTGGCTGTTATTAGCTAGCCTTGTAATGGAAGGGCTGTCCACGGCCCAGTGAGCAGACGGGCAGGGCTGCCTCCCTGCTATGGAGTTGAAGATTGGTCAAAAGATCAAGAGACAGTCTAATTAAAATGCTTCCTATTGACTCAAAACCAAGAAGCTAGAGTCGGAATGAAGGGATACCCAGTGTTCAAGAAATTTAAAACTCCAAAGTGAATGGCAATATCTTCAACACGATTCTATGCCTTAAAAATATCTGAAACATTAGATGTCAAAGAAAACAATAATCCTTTATTTTATGTAATTAATTGTGACTGAAGTCAGCAGCACATATAATAAATCTCTAAATAATACGTGCATGTGCTTAAAAAACTGGAAAACAAAACTTACACCAAAAAAGCCATCATCAGGAAAGTGACTCCTTAGTACGTAGAAAGACTGACAAGCTTCTCAAAACGCTGGCTCTGGGGTAGAGAGAAAATGAGAAAGGCAACAGACAGCGTACAGACTTTTCCAGCTGTTGAAGCTCATTGACGGTGATAAGTCTAAATTGGGAAGGCAGCATTTTCTTGATCCGCTTGAGTCCTTGATACCATTCCTATTATCAAGTACAACTCTGAGAGAGATTTGTAATAACCCAGGCTTCACAACCCCCAGGCTATCCACCAACGGGCTTTCAGGGGTCTGTGAACCCCCTACTGCACCAAATCTTATAATAAATAGAGTGTGATGGATTTGTATTGTATCAACCAGGCTACATTGGAACTATGTTTTCCAAAATTCCCTTCTCTGCAGATACCTAGGATACGGTGGGCCTCAGGAGGCATTCTGTAAAGATTGAGAAAGTGGAAGTAGAGTAGTAGCCATCTTGTTTCTTCATGCTCAAAAGATGCGTGCAGGACACCAAGCACTGGGGGAGCTCAGGCGTGTTGTTACTTATCTGCAGCTCACCTTGTTGGCTTGGGGCAGCAGCTGGGCCCCTGCCAGATCCTCCTGCTGGATCAGCTTCCCTGAGTCCTGGACCAGATGCGTATTCAGCTCCGTGATGGAAGACACCAGCTTCTCCTTCATCCAGCTTGTCTTTGCTTGCTCTCCTTCACATCCATCTTCTTTTCCCAACTGCCTGTGGACTTCAGGTGCCAGCAGGAGACACAGAAACAGCTTCACATTCTTACTTAGACCACTTAACCAGCTCCCACAGTGCGATAAGGTCAAATCCCTGTGATAAACTATATCTTAATAACTATATATTAATATAATATAGACATATATAATAAATATACACATGGTTTTGCTTAAGCACTAACTGATACATTATGCCAAAGCATAATTTTAAAAAGCCAGAAATGTAACTCTCACGCAAGTACATAGTGAGCATGAAAAATTTACTTACCTTATTAATGAGGGAACCGGCAAGGTGGCAAAAGCAGTTCAAAGAAAGATATAAGAGACTCATGTCAGTAAAAGAAAGAATGCTGGAATATGATTGGTAAATTAGATTCAAAGCTGGTGAGTGTACTGCACGCCAATCAGAGCATAACCTTTCAGATTATCTTCTCTTTTGGAGAGAAATCATTTGCATCTCAACTGGACAAAAATCACTTCCATTTTATCAATTTTCTGCAAGTTAAGATGTAACTTTATAGCTTTTAGGCCCTAATCAATAGTAAATAGTAAGTCAGACAAAGCTGTATCCCCAAAGTCAGGCTTGTTAGATGCTGTTCTAGAAAACTTTGAAATGGCCCACTTGTCCTTTTGCTTTATTTCCAAATTTTGGATGCATTCTTTTTAAAGATTTTATTTTTTCCCTTTTTCTCCCCAAAGCCCCCCGCTACATAGTTGCATATTCTTCATTGTGGGTCCTTCTAGTTGTGGCATGTGGGACGCTGCCTCAGCGTGGCTTGCCGAGCAGTGCCATGTCCGCGCCCAGGATTTGAACCAACAAAACACTGGGCCGCCTGCAGCGGAGCGCGCGAACTTAACCACTCAGCCCCGGGGCCAGCCCCTGGATGCATTCTTTAGCATGTTTATATGCATTTTTTTTTTTTTTTTGCAGAGAACAGCCATTGTTTACATTAAGGGGATTTCTAACTTTTTTAAAGAGGGAATAAGAACCACTGAACTAAAAGACCAAACTATAGTTGATCTTATTCAAATTGCATAATAATTGCAAAAACGAGAAAAACTTGTTTAATCTTGAAAGATCTTATTTAGCTGAAGTTTATCCTCCCATTGCAAATAATCCCCTATAAAAATGCTCAAATTTCCCTTATTTTTAAATAACAGCCATAAAATCTGTTCATTTGTTATTATTTTAAGCTACCACGTTATCTCTTTATTTTACCGAAACAACAGCCAACACTTACTGAGAGCTGACTATGGAGCCCGCCCCTTTACACACAGTTTCTCACTGAAGCCTCAGAACAACCCTGCAGTGTAGGATGTGGACATCATGGCCTCAGGCTCCGAAAGAGTCAAAGAGCTAAGTAAGTTGCCTAAAGCCACACTATGGGTATTCAAACTCAGGTCTCTCTTACTTTAGAGACCACACCTTTAACCACCACTATGCTGTGTTGCCTCTTCTGGAAAACTTCTTGAAAGACAAATGTTTATTCCTTATTCAATGCTTACCTCCTTTGCAGTCAACATATAATGTATGCAAACTGCCTTGCCATCTTGGGGCCAGAGCCCTCAATACAAGTTGGTTGTCTCAGTCCCCTTTACCC